CTTCCAGGGGAAACAATTAGACATTAACTAAAAGTTTAAATAACACCTTTCATAAGCATATTATTCAGTTATGAAGGCAGTTGGCAGAGGAGGACAAAAAGGCTGTTAGAGTGGTTTCTTCCAGGGAAGAAGAATGAGGGGCAGGGTAGTAAAGGGAAGGAGTAGGAAACTCCTGCTTTTCACAATACAGTTCCACACTCTTGTTTTCTTAAGACATCCTTGCTTGTTATTAAAATTTTAAAAAAATGACTACACCCAGTTTTCTGACAAGGACTCATTTCAAAACCAATGCTTTTATTTAATTGGGGGAAAAAGTTCATTTTATTGCAAACACTAAGTGAGCCTAATACTATCCACCTGAAGTCCTGCATGTTTAGGAAGACAGCTCTCTCCTCAGGTAAAAATGATTGCGATTTTTTTAAAAAGCCAAATACTAAAGTATTCATTTTTTTATTGCTGCGCAGCAAATTACCACAAATGTATCAGCTTAAAACACAAATTCATTACCTCATGGTTCTGTAGGTGAAAGTACAGGCACAGCATGGCGATTCTCTGCTCACGGTCTTATGAGGCGGAAATCAAGGTGTCAGCCAGGCCTCACTTCTACCTGGTGGCTCTGGGGAAGAATCTCTTTTCAAGTTCCTTCAAGTTGTTTGCTGAATTAAGTGATGGTGGTTATACGATTTAGGTCCCTACTCCCTTGCTGGCAAAGGCCTTCTTCCAAATGATGGAGGCTCCTCACATCTTTACCATGTGGTCTCTTACATCTTCAAAGATAACAATGGGGAATCTCCCTCCTGCCGGAGACCCCTCACTCTTAGAATCTCTTTAGACAGCTAGAGCCCAGTCCCTTTTAAAGACTCACCTGATTAGCTCAGGACCACCAAGCTAGTCTCCCTATTTTAAGGTAAACTGCTTTGAGACCTTCATTACCTCAGCAAAAACTCTCCACACCCGTTACCTAGTTACCTAGATTAGCATTGATTGCATAATTGAGAGGAGGTGTGTGTATACCAGAGCAGTGGGACTCTTGGGGTCCATTTCAGAATTGTTTCCTACAGCAAGCAAATCAAGATTACAATCTCTCCAATAGGAAAAATAGGTTATTTATGTACTGTAAGTCAAAAATCTTTAAGTATATAAATGCAATGCTGAATTTTTTTCCCTAGCATTATTGAGATCTAGTTGACAAACATTGTAAATATTTAGGGTGTGTGCTAAATCACTCACCTCAAAAAGCCTCAGCAAAAAACTCTTCACACCTGTTACCTAGGTACCTACACTAGCACTTGATTGCATAATCAGGAGGAGGTGTGTGTACGCCAGAGACGTGGGACTCGGGGTCCATTTCAGAATTGTTTCCTACAGCAAGCAAATCAAGATTATAATCTCTCCAACAGGAATTAATAGGTTATTTACATACTGCAGGTCAAAAATCTTTAAGTATATAAATGCAATGCTGAATTTTTTTCCCAGCATTACTGAGATATAATTGACAAACACTGCAAATATTTAGAGTGTATGCTATTTTGATATATGATATATACTGTAAAATAATTGCCACAGCAAAGCTAATTAACATATCCATCATCTCACAGGTGTGTGTGTGCATGCGTGCGAACATTTAAGAACTACTCTCTTAACATACATCAAGTAGCCTGTCTTCCAAAAGTAAGTTTTCTTGATAAGATGGTCTGCTGTTCAGGTACAATAAGTAAAACTTAGGAACAACTTAAAGGAGAGCAACCTAAGAATTCTAAAAGCCAACTCCACATATTTAAAAAATTCAGTTCAATCATATCTAGGTAATTGATAAATCTCATTATGGTAGCCTAACGATTTTTAAAATATTTTAAATCAAAGTTTACATGGTGAAAGAATGCTCCGTGGAGGACTAAGGAAGCACTAATCAATTTAATGGTGTGGGAAAATTAATTCAAAATTAATAATGAAATGACTAATTTTCATGTATTTTAGCCATTCCCCCAAATTATTTAGGAAATGTGCTTTAAAGAAAATCATCAAGGAAGAAATAAGCCTAGATTGAAGGTTATAGCCAGAGAAAGTTATTAGCAGTATGAGTATATCCCATTAGCTTTGCCAATCAAAATTATTGTTACAGAAACTGTAAAATGCATACTCTTTTGTATATATTTATTGTTCCTCTCTCTTTTCTTCGATAATCCTTAGCATTATCACTTAAGGTAAAAAAGTACAGGACAGGGAATTAAGTAACTTCAGTTCTCATCCTGCTGTGCAACTTTGGAAAAGTCATTTATTTCTGGGCCTCACTCGCTATGTCTGTAAAATAAAACCATTTTAGAATTTGGGAGCTGAAATGGACCTTTGAGATCATGATCTTTATAGTTCCACCCAGCTCTTAAGTCATATTCACACAAACATCAACTTTTAGAGAGGGAATATATTCCACGTTGAGAAACGTATTACTTTAATGGATATAACAGGGTATTTCGTTTCCTGATTGGAATAAGTTATCACTTTAATTTTAGAGTAAGTCTCTACAGATGTTTTAGCATTTCAATAAGTGAATCCTCTTGCTCCTGCTCCTATCCCCTTGCACTCCAACACACGGGACTACTCTTTTGCTTATGTAGTCAAGTTCTCTATTTATATCAGTTGAAGGAATTTCATTATCCTACAAAGTTACAGATGCTTCCAATTTCAAGGCCTAATGCATTAAAATCAATTTGTTTTTTTTGTAATAATAAAGCCTTGTCAGTGACCTGCTTGGCACGAAGTACAAACCAAGAGAGAAGGCAGAATTCACAGTTATTCTGAACTTTAGTATTATATTGACATTCCTGGACCTCTGATATAATTCAATTCACATTTACTGAGAATTGTATCTGATTTTGTGCCACATCATAAGTTTCCTAGGGGCATATTTTTATCCTCAGCACAAAACACAATGTTTAGAACCTAGTGGGTCTTCAAAATGTTTCCAAAATGACTATATATAATGCACAATCTCTGCTTTCAGGGAGTTTATAATATCGCGGGAAAGATGGAAATACGACAAACGACAAAATGAAATAAAATACTAAACCACATGGTGGTATCTGTGTTATACAGAGTGGCCACCAGAGATGTTAATGTTGTAATCCCTGGAACCTGTGAATATGTTGTTACATAGCAGAAGAAAACTTAGGTTGCAGGTGGCATAACGTTCTGATCAGCTGATCTTAAATCACATGAGCTCTTAAGTCAGAATGAGGAAGACAGAAGAACGAGTCAGACAGATGTGACATAAGAAGAACCAGATACACCTTTGTTGGCTTAGAACAGGTAGAAATGGGCCAAAAAAGCAAAAAAAAAAAAAAAAAAAAAAAAAGGGTGAATGCTAGAAGCACAGAGCAGCAAGGAAATAGCTTCTTCCGTACAGCCTCCAGAAAAGAACACAGCCCTACTGATACCTTGATCTTATCCCACTGAGACTCATTTCAGAATTCTAACCAAAGAACTGCGAGAATACACTTGTGTTGTTTTACGACACTGTTTGTGGTATAATAGTTTGTTATGGAAGCCAGGGGAAACTAATCTGGCATCACATAATTGGTTTCATCTGTGAAAAGGCTTCACTGTGCTGGTATTTCACTGAGCCCTGAAAGGTTTGGGGGTGCAGTGGAGGAAAACAATTGTTTGTGAGTTAAATTCTCGCTATTTCAAATATGGTCCTTTCTGAACAGCACTAGTGGAAACTGTCCACTTTTTGGAAATGTGAACTGTCACCTCAGGCTGCACAAGAGACCTACTGAGTCAGCATCAGCATTTTAACAAGATCCTCAAATAATCTGCATTCATATTAAAGTTTGAGAAGCACTAGGTTAAATTTAATAAAAACTTTTTAAAGGTGCAGAAAGCTTTGATTCCTCTTTTTTGACACATAAATGGTTGGAAAAAAGTATTTAAACATACCAGGTTGCTATTTGTTACCACTGCCAATAGGAAAAATAAAAAAATCTACTGCTCTTAATGAAGAAGGCCTTTCACCCTTTAGTAAAATCCATCTGCCCCTATCTACAAAGGATTTTCCTTCTTTGAAAACTCCCATGAGTTGAAAGATTATAAATGTCAAGATTTTATTACCTTAAATAAATATTAGAATCCTGGAAGAATACTCATAGAGCCATCTTGTGGAGGACAAAATAATTTCAATCACAATACATTTTAATTACTTTAATATAAAAGACAGCAATGTTCCACATTTCACATATTTGAAAAACATTTCGAAACCCTCTAATAAGTATTTAACGAAAAAAATGTATCGAAGAGTAACAATGACCACAAAATTAATACTACCAGATCATTACTGATACTTTTTGCATTACAATATTTGGAGAGCAGGTGGAGAAAATATAGAACAGAACATGAACATTTTAAAACGATATTCTACCCAGGCTTTATCTTTTTGCTAAATCTTGTGGACACTAGAAGACATATTCAAGATGGTTGTAAAGATACTCAGCTAAAGTCACACTTCAAAGATGTTAAAACAGCCCTCCACCAATAATACGGCATTGCAAACCCTTCTATCCCATCTGTTTACAAAATTAAACAATGATCCAATGAGCTTTTCTCGGTAAAAGATTCAGTTAAAAGACAGAACATTAACAGAGATTTAGTAACAGTGACCGAAATAAGAAATCGGTGTAATCAAGAAAGATATGTAATTATTCAACATCATTTGGTATGGATACATCAATGCAACTCACTCAGTAAGTGGACAACATTGTGAGGGGAGTGGGCAACATGATCCAGAGTCCTGTGGGTAAATTCATATATAATAATCTTATTCCAATCAATCTGTAAAGTAAAAGCACTACATCCACATTAACAATGTAACATCTTAGAGTAATATAAAAGTGAAATCATTATTGGTACTTCATTTTCTTTAAAGTGCACAATTTAAGAAAACTTCACAAGAGTCTGCACTTTTGAAAGATACGATCAGAGTACACAGTATAGACAAAACAGGCACCTTCATTATAATTTTTTTAATAAATAAAAGCACATTAACAAAAAAGGAAGGTAAGCAGCACCAGAAGCCTTTGACATTTGTAACTAAATGCTGGTACCCAAATGGTCTAGCTGGTTAAGTTTCACTAAGAGGCGCAAAAAAGGAGCCGTTTTTGACTTAACATTTTAATTCTAGTAGAGATAAGAAGAGCTTGTGTGGGCTTGCAGTCCTTCACTGACTGTCCTTCACCAGTGGGTAGCATACCAGTTCTTCAAATGTCCTACACTTTGGAAAGCAGACCCGACTCTGGAGCACTCGCCTTAATTAGATTCTGAATTTCCTTGAATTTTGGATGGTCCTTATCAGCTACCAGCTGAAGCAGAACAGCCTCACTCGTGGTCACTATGATCCCAGTTCGAGCAAGACGCTTGAACAAAAAGATAAAGGCAAATCAAGAAATGAGCATGAGAATGAACACTATTTCGAAAGAGTAAGACTATGCTGGGATGCAATAATTAGTGTCCTTTACTGAAACCATGATTCCCAGCCATACCGTCAAGTTCAGTGATGGGGATGGATTTCAAGACCGGCCATACCACAAAGTCAATATTATTATTCTTAATATTAGTAAAATGGACTAGGAATAAGTAAAAGGGAAAAGGTAGCCAATGTTATGACATGTGTGCCCAGAACAGGAGAGTCATCAAGGCTAATGACTGTAAAACATGAGATAAGAGAAAGAAAAATAATGGTTTTTACTATATGCCTATCGTTGAACATCTGGACATTTAGTTGTTGCTATTTCCTGAACACTACTGGCAGGTTTGTGCTTCATCTCTTACTCATTCATTGACTCAAATGAGGGCTGCTTGTGACTTCTAAATTTATTAAACTTTTATTTCTATTTCTACTACTGAGATTTTTTTAAAAGGTGCCTCGGTCCACTTTTCCCCCTCTGTAGTTTAACTGATAATACATGAGATCGTGATGCATATTAATACTTATGCCTGGCACTCCTGGCATTTTGTAGCTCTTCATGTTTTAAAAATGGATGGGTGTGTAATGTTTCTAAAGCTCCATTAGCTGTGTTATGGATATAATTGTAGCTGCTAGAACATTACATTAGTAATTTACTATCAAATTTCATATAAATTGTTTAATTGGATTAAAACTACTATAAGAATTAAAATGATGCTTCTTAATTTCTTTTTACTGCACCCAAACATCTGACCTATAGCATAGGAGTCCTTCCTATAATTAAGAGTTCCCTTGTTTAGAAATGACCGGTGCTAAAAGATCTCTCTCTGTGTGAAGAGACCCCCTGGATGGTAAGGGAACCATCACTACTGCTGCCATCATAAACATTTTAGTACCACTAAACAAGAGTGTAAAATTCAAGGTTGTGTAAAGTTTCACTGACAGGTCAAGAATGTCCTTGCCTAACTGCCCCAGTGTAATCATAATACTAAGGACAGAAATCTCAAGGAGGAAAAGAGAGAGAAAGGAGAAGAGAAAGGGGAAGGAAGGCAGGGAAGAGAGCAAAGTCAGGGGGAAAGGGGAAAGGGAGGAAAGGAGGAAAACAGAAGAATTCTATAGCACAGATTCATTCTCTGGATTTATGTGTTATCAGAAATCCCAGGGAAAAAAAGACACAAACTGTTATCACAAAAAGCATACATGTAAAACGCATGAAAGAGGAAGTGGTTGGAAACAATTCCTAGGCAAGTCAGAGGAAAAAACCCAGGAAGCACTTGCATAGCTAAATATACTTGCAGAGTGTAAGTCAGTCTTCCTTCAATAGCTGTATATCAGCAGACTGAACCTTTCCACTGGCAGACTCTTTATTTTTATCCGTAATGAAGTAGAAGGAAGTATAAGCCACAACCTACTTGTCAGAAAGCAAGCTTGGACCTCAACGACCAGTACAGAAAAGGGTGCAGGGCAGCTAACCAGAACTTGGCAGTTATTTTTAAAAACAAAACAAAACAAAAACAGCAGGTATTTATGGGGGTTGGGGGCCTGGGGTAAGGCCGTATGCTTAGACACATACCAGGGGTGAGTTATCTCTGAGGATTTTTTTAAGACTTCTGGAAGCCCTAGTTTCCTCCTCCTTGCTTTACAGTCAGCTGATTAATCATATCAAAACCATTCAAAACTATGAAAAGATCATGTGCTTGCTTCAGACAGAAAGGCAGATAATAAATGTGATAAGCTGCAGTCCAGTTGTGTGAAAACAGCACTGAATGTCTATTCATTCATGTCCAGCTCTCCCCATCACCAGCTGCCTAGCCCTGCCTTCCTTAGTGCTCACTGTTGAATCAATGGACTTGCAATGATTCAGTTTGAATCAAGGACTAAATCATAGGCTTTCAATGTCTGTGAAAGTGCTTTACACTATGTACTCCAATGTGCCAATAAAGGTTAGTTCTCAACAATCTCCCCAGTTCCTTAGTGAGGCAGGAAGGAGAGAAATATGTTCCCAGGTCTAAGGAAGGAATCTGGTGACCCTGGAAGAAGCCTGTCTACAATGTTCAGTCTTCCCTAGTGCTCTACTGACCTGAGCCTGGTCCATTACAGCCTAACAAGCCTCAGTGATGCTGAGACTTTCAGGTGACCATGGCAGGGGCAGAGTGGGAAATGTACATCACAGAAATACCTTTTAGGAAAGTGAAACCCATACTCTATTACTTTGTTTCAAGATTGAAATGTGGCCGACACTGACTGGGTTTTAAAATAATCTAGCCAGGAACCCGTGTTAGAGAAAGGTGTAGCTTAGCAAACACAATAGTTTTCAATCTGGCTCTTAGCCGTTCCCACAGTGCCTGCCCTTTCCCAACCAAAGAAGGCGCCTGAGCAGAGAAAGAACAGCAGGAGCTTTCCAAACATACCTAGCAGGTCCCTGCCCACCACCCTGACAGTGCTGGTCCCAAGTCCACTTTCTCTCCTGGCTTAAAATGGGGCAATTGAAACTCCAGCCATTTAATGCACAAGAATACCTGTGCATTAGACTTCTAAAGTTCTCCCCTTATACTTGCAAAACTAATCCAACTAGGCCAAAGGAAAAGAAGGGTTGCTCTGACCCACAAACCTAAAAACTACACGTGCACTAAGTCATGAAAGCCTCAGAGAGGGGGCGCAAAAGACTAAACCCATGAGATTTCCAAGCAACACTAAAACTCCCCAGAAGTACAAGGACATCAAGGTCAAGAGAGGATTTTATTCGCTTATTCTCCATGCACTCTATAATTGTTAATTGAAAGAAGTAATGTCTTTCAGATGACAAATACCCAGAAAACATTTCTTGAATAAAGCACATGCCGCAGACTCTGGTACAGTGAAGTTTCAATAATGCAAACTATGAATCTTAAAATAACCTTAACAGGCAATTTAGCTAGTCTTGGGAATTATCTTAAGTAGTTATGTTCTAAAGGAATAGAGAGGAAGGGAAGTGGACCACAATGGTATTTTAACTTTCACACTTATGGAAACAAACCAGAACACTTAACATT